ACTCAAGCTCTGCTACGCGAGCTTTCGTAATATATGTATGTAAGGATATGTATTTATTGAAAAGTACCTGTGCAAATGTCTTTGTATATTTCGTTCGTTTCTATGTACATATGTATGTGTGTAAGTTGGGAAAATTAGTTTTGTCGCGTTTATTTGAAGGATGGATGTAGAGGTAGAGCAGAGAAACGTCTTCTGGCAATCTTGTGTACATGGCATGCGTCTCAGTCGTCGTCGTCCTCTTCTTCATCGTCCTCAACTTCCACGGCCTCCTCTTCTTCCTCCCAACAGCATGCCCTGTCAGACTCATGATTCAACCTCTCGCCACCTGCTATCTCGATATTGCACGGAATGGATCTGCACGGACAGGTTTCAGTCCTCGCCCTCCACGTCTTCGTAGGTGTACTCCGACCTGTGTTCTTCTTTGCTTGCACTTGCTTGCTGTCCGTTTCTCTGTTTATTCTCTTGACTTTCCAGCTGCAGTTGCGTCTGTCTTTGTGTTGTTTTCCGGTGCTTCTGGGTGCAAGCCGATAGCAGGACTGTAAGTAGGTGGTTTCATAAGTCTATGAAAGTGAGTTGCTCTAGGTACTTCCATCGTTCGTAACAAGGGCGAAGAGCTCCTCAAGCTCTGAAAACATCTGCATCATACTTCCCACCATGGCGCAGCGAGTACCGTCAGAAAGGAATTGGCCTCCAACTCCAGTACACAAGACAAACTTTGTGCGATGGCCAGACAGGCTGCAGGCCAGACAGGCTGCAAATAGAATGGTGCATACAAGTTCACTGCTGCGAAGATGAGGCCAGGACGCTTCTGTGTATGTATACTCCGATCTGAGCGGCAGCTTCTGCAATGTGCGGACATGCACCACTGATTCAGCTGGCTTAGCACGCTCTCCGACGAAGAAGATTTGCAGGTGCTCCGAGGAAAAAGCCCGCATCACAACTTGTTTCCTTCTTCGCAAAATATGATCAACTTCGGCTTCCCACAAATTCAATCCGAAGCTCGATTCCTGCTGCGAGACACCTTCCTGGAATATTTCACGATGCTACTGGACCCGGTTCAAGGGCCGGGCTCGTTTCCATCACCCACAGCTTTCGCCGTGGCCGTGGCCGTCGCCTACAGGGAAACCGCACTCCGCCAAAAAACATCAAAACACTTTACTGAAGTGCTAGCTTGCTCGCTCGAGAATCCCTGTGTCGCACGATGTAATTTCATCGGAAAGACGAGGCAGTGACTACATGCGCACCAAATCGCTGTCCATGCCCAGTTGGATGGCGACCGTCAAGGGACCGAAAGGCGAGACCCGACTTGGCATTAAGCAGTCCACGGGTATGCCCGTGACTATATAGTAGACCATTTCTGCTTTGACTTCCTGACACACCCCGGCCTTTTGTGCTTCCCCTGCGTGAGGAAAAAGCTTAGCGCGCGCAAGATACCCATTATGCAGGCGCGTGGTTGCCACCTTCTTGCAATGGATGCTCTGTGCGACATGCCAGCTTCTTGAAAGAAGCATGGCAACCGGAGTCAAACATTTCGTGGCACAGTCACACATCTGACCACCAGCTATGCCTTGTTCAAGTCCTGTTGGACTTGGGCCTGCTATGTTGGACGCTTTCTTGACACAACATGCCGGATGATGTCTACATGGTAGCTGTCGATCTTGTCCTGCAAGGCACTTCTCAGCTCACAGTGATCACTCCTGTCTTTCGTGTACGTGGTACAAACTATTGTGCCTCAACTCTGCATGGTGCACAAAGAATTCTCTCTGAAGCCACATGGAAGCAGGACGATGCGTCCAAGTATATTCGTCGAAGGCCTTTGCAGCTGCAGGCGCAGTTTTGGATGCCTGGGCATGAAATGAACATGTAGATGAAGACGCTATAAGACGCTGCCTTCAAGAACAAGATCCACGAGCGGCTGTTGCTCCACCTTGCTGCCAAGTCACGCCTGGAGGCTTTGTGGACGCTTTCGGCCTGCGCGGGATCAGCGGTAGCCAAAGACTACAAAAGCCCTTGCAACTGCTCTCTGAGTGCAGTTGAGGACTCTGGGCTATGCTTCTGAAAGCTGAAAACTGTCTGCATCAGTGTCCAATAGCTGCCAGTGATTTCTCATCTGTAGAGCAGATAAGCACTCTGGAAACACCATGCTCGCGCAAGGGCAAAAATCGCTACTCAGTATCGCTAGCGACATGGACCCTGGAAAGAAGCTCGCATTTAGCATCCTGGAAGTTCCCATCGCTGGCACAGGTTGGTTCTGCGGTGCGTTCTGCTGCGGTCGCCTGGCAGCAACTCGACAGACTCCAACTGTAGCATGCATGTAAGTCGTAGCAGCTTGGCATCGGTAACACATGCTTACTATGCTTATGACCGCGCTCAGCTGTTTCCATCCATGAAGCAAGGTGGCCCGTGGCTCGTCTTTCTTGCGTGCCGAAACACAATCACTCTTAGGTCCCAGTCTTGTTTTCGGCTCTGCATCGTGCATACTCGTGCTAACGGGTGAGCCTGGGAGCTAAAGAGACATGATCCCTTACACTTATACCTGGGTGTGACTATGTAGCCGTCGCGCTTCAGTCACGGGGACACTAGAACAAAAGCAAACATGGATCCCGAAATGCCGGCCGATCCGCTGCGCCTTGGAGCCGCCTTTGCTCGGGTGGCCACGAGGGGTGGGAGAGCCTCCCAGTTCTCTTGAGTTCATGTGCGGAGACTCCTAGATCCAGACCGTCTTAGCCCAAGGCCCGAGGGATGCTTTTCCGAGACGCCCGATTCACAGAATGGACATGCAGCACACACAAGACAGCTCGCTACTCAGCGTCACTGGGCCAGAATTGCGTGTCACTCAATCACCAGCAGCTCCCACGAGGACAGAAAGCTGACTTCCTACACAGAGCAGCACATCCCCACTACAACATCGAAAACTAGTGCCAACAGGCAGAGAGCCTGTTGCTGCTTGTTGGCATCATTAGGCTCTTGCTTGGTTGCAACCACCTGGCACGACAAGAAATCATGCTACGCGGAATGCACACGTGTCACAAGACAGGAGCACCAGTTGCAAGAGCCCCATAATCCCGTAAACCCCGATCCCGAGACCCTAAACCTCAGACCCAATGGCTTAGAACATCGTCTCCATCACAAACCGACATCCAGCCAACTCGAGCTCTGTATTTGGTCTTCCTTGCATTTACAAGCAACTATCTCAATGGGGGGTGGTGTACCAAAATGTTCAAACAAAGGAGGCTCCCAAGGGACCGGAATGCACAACATCTCTCTAGAACCCTTTAAATTTAAGGCCCTTTAGAGGCTAACCAACCCGATAAGACCCCCCAGTTTACACAATTCGGCATGTGTCTACATGTAGGTTCATGTCTACGTATGCGTGTTCATAGGCAAACAGAACCTAGAAAAAGCCTGCAAAAATGTGTCAAGACACGACAAAACTCATATCTCAGACAGTCTTGAAGCGCAAGTACATCCACCCACACGAACAGCCACAGGCTGCGGCAGCCTTTTTGGACTCCGGCGCCTTGGCTGCCTGCGAAGCACGGAGCTATCTCCGCTCACAACAGCAACCAACCATCACCACCACCAACACCAACACCACCAGCACCACCAACACCACCACCACCATCACTACCATCACCGTTCTCATCGGCCTTCTTAGTACAGACTGAAAGAAACAGATTCAACTTTTTAGCCATCGTAAACTCGAAAACCAAACGCACCGACATGGCTTGCTATGACTGCCAGCTGTTACAACCAGACCTCAGTACGAAAAGTATCGGCAATCAACGTGATATCAGCCATGGCAGTCAGATCTCAGCCATGGCAGTCAAGGGTTAAGAACCGAGGTGTCGCACGAAGTACACTTAGATAAATAGATACGGTGATCAAGAGCAAGAATGCTGCAATAGCGGTAGCAATAACTGCGGTGATAGTGTAACAGTGTAGCACAAGCCTCATGATCAAAGGCAACAGATTGCCTCATCAATAGTCATAGCCGAAGATTCGAACAATCACCAACAACAATATTGGGATTTGCTTTTATTGCCAAACGAACGATGACACTCATGTTGTTGCCATGTTTTTTGATTCAACACTATATCGGCACTCGTCACTTCCTCCATCCCTCAGATGCCTCGCGTTGGCCGCGTCCGCGGGTTCCTGTCAGAAGCACTGGATGTCCACACCATAGATATATATAAAAAATGATATACAATATAATATAATACAGTATAATAAAAGAATTAATACAATAAATATAGAATAATAATAGTAATAATAATAACAAAATAATATGTACTGTACCGTTCCAAAATGCCCTCCTTGCACCTTCTCCAGGAGCTTCTCGGTGCGCTCCTCGGTAGGGGAAACCCGCCCACGAATCCCCGATTTTTTTGTGGGGAACGCGACCTGTGGATGCCAGCTCTGCTAGGAATGTGCATGCGTCAGACATGGGCCGACACCGAGTTGGAGTTTCATGGAAGCATGCAATGCCTGATGGCCACTACAACATCCTTCCGAGTCAACTGCACATCCATTGAATGTTACTTAGAGACCCCATGTAGACAACGGTCTACGTAGTATGACCGACCACTTGACTGCGGGCAGAAATGCTCATTTCTGCCATCTGCCCTCATGCTCAAGTCTGAGCGAGGTGCGCCGGCTGCCAAGCGATTTGAAGCTGCAGATCCCCTTGAATGCAGGGTCAGCGTAGCAGGGCATCGGCGACGATGTATTTCTCTCCGCCACACATTCCAGAATTTCTAGCAAGGAAACTCTCAACAAGGAGCGGCTTTCCAATGCTTTCCATTTGTTCCATGCCCAGCCGACCTGCGCCGCGGCCTTTCACGCTCCCCGCGCTCTCCTCGACGGCGCTGCAAGCGGGAGGCCTCCTCCTGTAACAGGGAACCATAATGATGCATCATATCATATTGCACTAGATAACTAGATTTTACCATGTTAAGATATTACCACGCTATATTTGTCATGTAGACTACATTAGATTGGATTACATTATGTTATTAGTACATGCCGGAGACCAGCTTGAAACGAGACTCGGCGGAAGAGACGCTGAGCCCGGCGCGTTTCCCCGTCGATGCTCATGACGGCTGCGGCTCCTTCGGGTCAAAGTCAACCAACTAATTGCACGATACTGCCCGGTAAATATGTTATATGTTATTCGGATTAGGACCACCGGGATTGCGAGGAGATGTGTCCTGATAATAATTTTCAAAGTGATGCGGAGCATGCCAGCCTGCGGCGCGTTGCTCGGCGTGAGCGGTCACGCTCCTCCCGCCTAGCATTCTCGCGCCTGTACAGGCGGTGTGAAGACGTCGAATACTGATACCGTCAGAAACTCTTGAGCTAGACCAACACCCATCAAGATTCAGTGACATGGTGATAGTTGCAGACAAGGATGCACAAAAGCGGCAGCACAAGACACGAAGTGACGGTATGTGACAGTCTGCTCCTAATCAAGCGGATCTTCCCTTACAGGCTGAGATGCTGCTTGGTATCTGTCGCAATCTGTTGCACCGCACTGTCACAGAAGCACGTTATGCAGACAGCTGTGCCTCCGCCTATCACCGCGATCTCTTTCGCCACGCCTAGCTGCACAGATTGGCTCTGTCGACTTCACACGGGCAACGAAGGTGAGAACCGGGCAGTGGACAAACAAAGGTCTCAGCCGAAAACAAGAAATAGTACCCAGCCAAGTTCTGGGATACCTGCCTTCGACCGGCCTCCTCGCGACGAGTGGCACCTCCATTCTACATCATTCGACGGGTCACATGACATGAGCCATGTCCCTCGGTGACAGGGCACATGACTCCGTTATATCTGTGGCTTCCGATGTGCATGACCGTGCATTGCCTTCGTGTCGGCGGCGCCTCGGTGCAAGCACCAGCTCTGCTCTCTTTAGTACGCTTTCTTCTGCATTGAATCATTGATCGAATGCCACCCACTTTTCGACCACAGGCTGGGTCGACTACGGCGATCTGCGCATCTCTCGGTCCCTTCCGGCCTGAACGACTTTGTGCTTATGCAAAGCTGGACCACTCAGCATACGTGCTTGTGTTGAGGATCTTGCCCCGCGACCATCAGCTTCACGCCTCCCGACTGGGATGGGTTGTGATATGGAGGTGAGAAAAGCTTGGATGAATCACCACGGTATTGCAAGGTGCCATGGAAAGTCAGCATGGATGAATTTCTGAGAGCTTCATGCTGGCAGTTGCCCCTCCACCGCCTCTCGCGCCGCGGCGAGGCATGGTGCCGAGCTGCAGAGAGAACGGGACGGGGTTGCGGGGCTCAACGAAAGGCGAGACTGCAAAACGCAAGTGTTCAAACACGCAGCACTTTGCAGACAAGGCTGTTGATTGAGCTACTTGGAAAAACTTCGGCAGCTGCCTGCACGCTCGTCGCGCCGATCCAAACGATCCGCATGCATGCCACGGGGCTCTGGAGGACGCCTGCACTGGGGCACTAACAAACGGTTCTCACTTGTCCAGCATCGGACATGTCAAAGAAGGCTGGCAACTGCACGACAATTTCTGCACTACGGGCACGCCTGCTGCTGTAGTGATCATCCTGCAGCAGGTTCACTCTCGGCTGGAGACTGCACACATTCACGATGCGCATTTGCCAAGATTCATGCAAATTAGCGGAAGACCGAAGCATTGCTGCAAGCTGAGATCCAGCACAGAAAGGGTCCTCTTCACGCTCCTGGCCTCGCACGATCCAGAACTGCATACATTCAAGCTCGAGTCGAGTGTGCAGGAGCGAATTTGGCTGTGCGAACGACCTCGCCGCTTGGGCTCTGCGACTTCTTCCTCCTCGTCCTCCATTTCCTCCTCCTGCGCACTTCAACTGATCTTGGAAATGTTCGCTGCGACTAAAAAACCTAGCTCATGATGACAGCCTGCGGAATCTACTTTGTAACTGGTTAGAGAGGCCACCGAGGTGGTTAAGGTAGCAATGGTTGTTTCTAGGATCCTAGGGGCCGCAACAGTTTGCAGGTGCCTCCTCAGCTTCCTTTTCAGCTTCGCTGGCCTTAGTTGAATCTGGCATCCCCTCTGAAGGCCTGGCAGAAATCAACCTGCCTCTTCTGCCTCGTCAACATCCTCCTCCTCGACATCCTGCACCGAATGCTAGAGGGAAATGCATGTCCACGTGCAAGACGCCCTGCATGAATCTTGAGGCATGTCTGCTGGAAGCCTTGTCTTCATCCTCGTCGTCAAGATCATCCTTCACATCTATGCATTTCGCACTGAATGTCTCAGTGACTGAAGAACACTTCTACCGGCGCTTGCAGGTGGAAAATCGACATCTGACAGCGGCCTCCTTCTTGACGGGCCCTCTCGGAGCTTCCTTCAACAGTACCTGGATGGCACCAGACAGCATCAATGGGGGATACAGATCTTGGGATCGGAAGATACTCTCCGGCCAAGAGTGTCTATCCGTAGTTCAACAACTTCCCATCTCTGGCAGGCAAGCTGGGAGACTTTACATGTGATCCTGCGGTCCTAAGAGCAGCCAGAACGCCTTGGCTTTTCGTCGCTCGCCCGCAAGCACCTCAAAGGTGGTGGCATGGGCAGCTGTCGGCTCAAACATTTGCAGAAAACGCTGGCAAGCTTTGCGCAGCACGCCCAGCTGGCTCAACGTGCGGCTTGCTACCTCATTTGGAAAGCACTCTCTGGATCCGTTTTCATGGCCATCTTGGTTGTCTACACCAGCAATCGCTACACATTCTTGCTTTACGAGGCAGCATCAAACTGGGCCAGGGGCATTGCTCTGTACTCGAGGCGGTCGACTCGGCTTGGACGGTTCATTCTCCGGCCTTCCACGCTTTTCTGCTCGCACAGAGAAGTCTCATTTTTGGGCTTGCCTGGCTCCGTCGTCGTCGTCCTTCTTCGCAACGATGGCACCCTAGGCAGGAGCACAATCAAGATGGGAAGACAGATTCTCTAAGTTTCAGCAAATTGAACATGAAGCTGGCTCAGCAGACCCTGCGCCATCCTTGCACAAGGCAGGACTCATCTGATCTCTCCGTGCTCGCCGAGCTCGCGACCATGGCACGCATAAAGATGCCACCAGACATCTGATCATCGAGGCTAGCTCATGTCATCTCCTACTGGCTAGTGCATACTTCTTACGAGGAATGCCCAGGCAGCGAAACGAATTACATGATGTGGAGGCATGCCCAAGTCTTTTGTCAAGCCGCTGTTCCAAAGGCTTCTGACCTTAAACACCTCTGCAGATCTCAGGTTTGAGAAGCAAAAGCGTTTGCTACCTACCTTCCCACGGGGTGCACTTCCCCTCAGCTTTCCGTCGAAAGCCTTCACATTCATGAGCTGCCCGACGATTCGAGTGAAGATTTCAGCGCCAAGCGCGTGTGCTTCTCCATCTTCTGCTGTACAAACTGCTGCTTGAACTGCGCAAGCGCGCTTGCGTTCAAGCTTTGCCTTGCCTCCAAGGCATCACGCAAAAGATCTTCGGCCGCAGCATCTGCCGTGTGAGCCTGTCCGTTGAGCATCACGCAGAGCTGCTCGGGACTGCGCTTCTGGAGGATCTCATCGCGTTGCGCTGACAGTGCCTCCACAGAGGCCTTCGTCGCAGAGAGTGCCTGCGAAACGCTGGCATAGTCTTGTGAAGTTGACTGCGTTCCTGACTCCTGGCTCAGGATGGACTGAGCTGTGGATCGGTTCTCCATCCGGGCTGTCTCCAGCTGCTTCAGGAGAGCCTTGACGTCAGTCTGCTCCAGGATCAAGTCATCGAGAGCTGGCTTGTTGGCGCGGAGATTCTGTAACTCAGAAAGGCTGTAGTTGTCTAGTTCAGAGAACGTAGATGGTACGGCAGGTAATCGAGATTCAGGAGTGGGCGGAGGTTGAGGTGATGTCTTTGGCAGGACTGCCACGACCTCTGCTTTCACTGGGGCAGGGGTACTGGCTGCAGGCGTAGACGAAGACCACCACGGCATGGTGCTGCTCAAGAGCCTTAGTTAGAGCCGATGCTCGTTGGCTCTCTTCTATGTGCGGGCTTGAACCAGTCAAGCCGATGCCAGCACCTGCTCAAAGCACATGCCGATCCATTCTGTGAAGGACAACCCGTCGACAAGATATGGCTGGACTATCTTGATAACTGTGACTGACAGCTTCACACCTGAAATGACCGACCATGATCCAGCATCTCACAGCATTAGCATCTGCATATGCACCATGATTAAGCAAGGTGCTGCAACGTGTGCACCGACCCAGCCTTAACACCCGAAGGACGCGGCTCCCCGGTCCCATCCCAGTCCTCCTCCTCCTCCGTGCGCCTCGAAACGGTCAAAGCACGAAGTGTGCCGAACTTCGCCGCCCCCATGCAGCTTCCCTTTCATCCCGCTATCTCAAACGGCCGCCAAAGCCATTGAAGGACTGAAGGATAACATATGGAAGGACGGCTGTCAAGGGGCTTTTAATTTTACTGGTGGATGCTCGAAGCAGCTGCTGAAGATGCTGGCCTGCACAGACACCCATCTCATTGCCCAAGGTGCTGGCCACTTCTTTCTGGCCGGCTCTTCCCATTCCGGAACCTTCCGGAAGGCCTGCAAAGATACTAAGCGCGACCACTGTCAAAGACCATCCCTGAACGCATAAAATCTCAATATGCGAGCAAAGACAGAACACCCGGTTCCGGGCCTCAGGGCAACCATCGAACCAATCATCACGACCTTCGCGCCAGTCTGTGTCCTGGAAGCCGCCATCATTACTCCCTGTCTTCACGCTGGCCATCGTTTCAATCTCTGTTTCAAGTTTGTGCTACTGAAGGGCCATTTTTTCAGGGCGGTCCTTCCAGGGGTCCGTGTCTTCCACGGGCTCCGGAGGCGGCGCCCATTTCCGCTTTCGGGGGCCATCGTTGTTCGCATGCCCGAACTCCTCAGTTAAAGGCACCGAACTGTGACAGCGGTGAGACTCAGAATCTTGGACGCCGGCATCTCGTTGAAAATGAAAGTGCGGAAGGTGAACCTTCCGATGTCCAACCAGACTACGGCTTGCATCATCAGCAGTACCACTTGGTTGCAGTATCTTAAGACAGGACATGGCTGCTGCCGACTTCCAGCACCAGCGTGCAAGACACACTTGTACTCTTTTCATCAACGAGCTGTTCGGCTCAAAGTTTGTGCAAGTCTCGCACCTAAGTCTGCACACCTGTCCTGCTCTATGTACAATTCGGCAACAGATGCAGAGTCACATGAAGCCATGGCCTGACTGGGACTGCACGGCAGTCAGTTTCAAGCAATACATCCAGCAGAAGGTCCAGCTCAAGCTATTGTGCCTGCGGTTGTATGATGCTAAATGTCAGCGCAGCCGTGAGGCGTAGTGACAGCTGCTTCAGTGCAAGGGCATGGTCCCCTCAGGTGCGCACATGGCGGCGAGGGAGTTACCATACTCTACACTTGTGGAATGGCCTTTTGGGCCACCCTTCCCAAACCGGAAGTGGGTGGCTTCATGCAATACTCCATAGAGAGCCGAATTGGGTGCATGCGTGCCTTCCCCGCACAAGTGTTCAGCGGGCAAGTCTGTGATACATGCGCAGTTCACAGGTACTGTACCTCAGCCCCCGGAAAGTTGCTGTCCGTTCAGTCAGGGCTGCTTCGGGTGCACACCTTCGTGCAACAATGCCCGAGAATAGCTCCAGACTCCAATGGCAGTCAAGGGGCAGCAGACCAAAAATGCAAAAGTGCGAAGGAATGAATGATTCTATCAGTGTGCGTTGCAAGTCCTTGGTTGCACACACAGCAAAGAAACTTGCCCTCAAGTCTTGCCAGCGATGCTCGCAACGGTGCCGCAGAAAAGGCAGAACTTGAGCAGCACAGAACAAAAAGCAGCAAATGGGCGAAGCAACACAGGCAGGGACTTGCAGCCGGCTTTTTGCATGAGCAAGTTCGACTGCTTTGACTAGCAAGGGGCCCCCTCTGAGGGCCAGGAAATGCCAGGAACAAGTTCGAACGATATAGACTGTCCTGAGATCACAACAGCCGCGCTGACACACGGCAGTCGAGATTACAAACTGAAAATACCTGCCTGCACAATAAATGCAGGTGAGCATCACCTCAGAAACTGCCTGGTCTCGGGCCTTCATGCAAGTTCACCTGCAGGTTCTTCGGCTTCAGTCCTCGTCCGAGATCCGACCGCTTACTTACGCCAAAGGGACAGAGCAGGAGCGCAGCTTCGAGCTGAGAAAACCAAGACTCCAATCCCATCCGAGTTCACGCTGCGTGCATGTCTGCTGTGCTTTATGGCAGATGCTCTTCGTGCAATGAAGTCGATTTCAGGCATTGCCAACACGACACTATGAGCTGGCGGAACACACAAACTCTAGGTGAGTCTAGGCCCGCTGAGAGAGTGTCCTTCGGAAAGCTGAAACTCGCGGTACTGAATGTAGATGTCCTCCAACAAGGAGGAGACCAAGTGCCTCAGCTGAGCTTTCGTGCAGAAGCCTCTTATTGTCGTATACATGACGGCGTCGATCATCAACATCAATGTCATGATGTCATCACCACCACCGCCGCGGCAGCACTGTCGCCGTCGCAGAAACCAGAATCCTTGTGATCCTCATAGCCGCTCTCATCATCAACATCATGAGCACATTCGTCGTCGTCGTCCTCATCGTCGTCATCGCCGTGGCCACTGCGGCCGTCATAGACATCCCGATGAAGCCATCATACTACATCTCTTCGTCTCCTGCTTCATGCTTGCCTTGATTCATCCCTGCATTCATTGCTTCCGTACTTCATGAATTCCTTCATTCGTTTGCTCACTCAATCCATCTCTGCATCCATTCATGCATGCCTTCGTTCTTGCGTCCCTGAACCCATGCATTGCTTCATACATTGTCCTGCATGCATGCATTCATTCATTCACTCACTCATTCAGTCAAGTAACCAGTCAAATCAATCGATCAATCCAAGTCAGGCAGCTATCGATCAGTCAGTCAGTCACTTCATTCCTGACGCCTTGTTGCCTCCCTGCCTGCTTTCATGCAGCCAGCACTGCTGCCACTCCCACTACTAGCCGTCCCAATCGCTGTCGGAGTCGCCGTCGACGTCGAGTCGTCATCGTCGTCGTAGTAGTAGCAGGAGAGGCGGAGGAGGAGGAGGAGGAGGAGGAGAGTAGCAGTAGCGGTCGCAGCAGCAGCAGCAGCAGCAGCAGCAGCAGTAGTAGCAGCTAGCTTTAGCAGCAGCAGCAGCAGCAGCAGCAGCAGCCGCAGCCGCAGCCGCAGCCGTAGCAGTAGCAGTAGCAGTAGCAGCAGCCGCAGCAGTAGCAGCTAGCTTTAGCAGTAGCAGCTAGCTTCAGCAGTAGCAGCAGTTTGTCGTCGTCGTCGTCGTCGCAGCTGCTGTGCCTCCCAACACTTGCGCCAGCACTAGCGCGACGACAAGATCACCTAGGACTACGGCGACAGCGACAACTGCTGCAACTACACAGATCCACAATACCTACGACTACATGATTGACAGTTCGGCCATTACCCGAATCAACCCCATCACCAGCAGCAACAGAAAATGACAACATGCCCAGAACAACGGCCACCACTGTCCTTTCCTTTCCTGGGCCACAGGCTTAGCTTCCTCGTAGGAGGCGGGGTCGGGCACGCTGACGCAAAGCATCAAGGGGTCCGAAGACTCCTGCCAGAAAGACATCACATGCGATCAGATGTGACATGCGACAAGTCGGCCACTCGCATTTGCTCTTCTCAGAGAAGGCCGAGGGAAGCGCCTTCTGCTCCGGACCCTCGAGAAACTTGGAACCACGACCACGGAGGCGGAGCTTGGCCTCGGCCCAACAGCCCGAAACTTCCTCTGGAGCGAGCCCAAGCCCAACAAAGGATTCTCTTGAAGGAAGCGCTTGCAGCTGAGCTGCACCTGTCTTCTCGGCGATGTCCTTCATGTGCTGGCCCTTGCGAGGAAGCTTTCATGCAGGCATCTGAGACATGTTTGCGCGGCAGAGGCCTGAATGGGAAGCGACGAAAACTAAGCGATTGGTAGCCGCCTTGCTTCTTGATCCTCTTCCAAAGTTCCAAAGCCCATTCAATATCTGGCCTTCTGACCAAGCAGTCGTCGGCATACTCGGAAGCGGCCCTTTCAGGGGGCACAGCTTTGATTTCTCAGCCCCCTCTCATCCTGCAGCTAATGAATCGCTCGCAGCATTAATAATAGTCCCGTGTCACATACATGGGTCTTACATACACATGGCAAGAGTATGATTCGCCTCCTCTTCAATGCCAATGATGTACCTGGCTACAGAGCATTCGTTCTATCTCGCAATGCTTCGGAATTCCTTCCGTCTGCAACAAAACAAACTGTTCTGTGCGCGATCTGCAGCACTCAGCAAAAAGCCATGAAATTGCAGCGGAGGGGTCCGTCGGAGCTTTAGCAGATGATCTCCCGCCAAGACACTGGCACTGGCACTTGGAGCCGCCCCCTGCACCACCTGCGGGTTCTTCACTGTGATCTCCCTTTTCCGTGCCATGTGTCGGCAAATTTAGCGAAGTTAAAGGCAACACCCCACCTCCTCCCTTGCTGCTCTTGCCACCGCCCTTGCCGGCGGCCTTGCCCTTGCCTGGGTTTCGGACGAAGCGAAAGAAGATCCCGAAAACGGCCCTGACGCTTCAAAGCTAAGATAGCACAACCTCGGCGCTCGCTGTGGAGCTTTGCTTCAAGCCCCGGTGCTCTGGAGCCCGTTGGACTTCAAAGTTCGATCAAAAAGGAAGATGTCCATACAAGAACAAGACGAGACGACTCGAGACGTCTAGACACCAAGTTGTTCCAAGCCGCCTTTCCCTTTCGGCGCGTACGAGGGCTTTTCGTAGTGCCAGCCTGCACAGCACTCCAGCAGCAGGGTGTCTTAATAGAGCAACAGCTTGTGGCTTAGACTTCCGCCACCGTGCGCCTCCTGCAGACCACCATGTTTGTTGATGTCCTTGCGCCTGCAAGGAATGCAGAATCGGCAAGGAGACCTGGCGACTACTGTCAGACAGACCGTAGAAACTGAAACTGTTGACCATGCGCCAATTTTACCCTGCCACTTCTTCAATGTTCCTTCTTGCAAGTGTCCGCCACAGTCAAGTGGCCTTTCACTCTGCAACGAGTGTGAGTGACAAGGCATCACCGCTAGTATGGAACATGACTGGGCAGAGCGACCAGTTTCTGTGAGCAGCCTGCTCAGAGCTGAGCCAAGGTTCTAGGATGCACCAGTTCCGCGAATACAGTCCAATCGTTCAGGATTCGGCTGATCCCGGAAGAGCCTGGTAAGACAAGAGCCCTTGTGCGGCCTGACCGTAGGACTCGCCGGCCGGGCGCCACTGGGACTTTCTGCCATAGCCAGCGTAGTCGTAGGCCTGTCTTGGTGCTGGCAGCTGATCTGGCGCAGCGGTGATGCAGTTGGACGCTCTCGAATCCGTGTTTGACCATTGAGCACCGCACCGCTGCAGACGATGTTGCTTTTGAATCATCCGCGTGCGAGTTCTTCCACCACTTGGCAGACTTGTAGCTCCAGCCTCACAGGACACATTGGGATGAATCTGCGCACAGTTGGACGCAGGACGAAGGGTTTCACAAGTGCCAGGACAAGGTGTGCACACGCACTGGCACACATGAATGGGTGCCTGAACGTTAAAGGTGTGCCGTTTTGCGTTCGGACATGCGTGCCTGCATGTAGGAGTTGATTGCTCGTTCTAGGTATGATCCGAAGAAGCGTGTACCCAGAGTACGGAAACACATTCCACGACAACATTAATGCACGAAGCAGGATGCGTCCCGTCAAGAAACTCGAGAGGACAGCAAACCCATAGTCGGCTACTGCTCCCCTCGACACCCCAACACTCGAGTCATTGCGAAGTCGCGAGCCCTCCAAGTTTTGGATGACTACAGCCGACCCATCCTTGTCTCCCACCCATCGATCAGACCGGCCACATACCAAGACCGAATAGTGTAGTTGAATTCCTACTTCCACGATTACTTGGAAAAACGAACTCATTCCTGCCCACGAAAAGCTCCATTCACAGATCTTCTCCCAATGAGCACGTCTTTAGGACTTGAAGCCTCGCAATGTCGCTCCGCTTGGTTCTTCCTGCCCACATCTTCCTTTTGCAACCAGCTTTGCCCGCCAGACCCTCGCATCTTTCACGCTCTGGCCCCGGTTTCCAGCGAGCATAGCAACAGCTATCATCATCGAAATGAGCACCGATGCTGGAACAGAGATACTTTTAGAACAAAGTGCTCAACTCAACGAGTCTACCACCGGTCCTTGTTCACGAACCCTTCAAAGGTACAAGATGGTAAATTGTGGCTTTGATTCTCAGGTTGTCAGCTGCGAACTGTGAAGAGCAGCGGTTCGATGATGTGCGGTGGCACCTTCGTCTTCAGATGCTTGCGAGCTCTGAGTCGCAGCATGCGAGCCTCGGATGAAAGCTACAAGCCGGCATGCGGAATCAGAACTTCGACTTTGACTACGGGATGCACTATTCGGTTGCAGCGGCTTGTAGATGCTGTGGTCTCCTGCTGGTCAATGTCTTCTGCGAGATCTGCCCAGCGCGGCTTGACAGGGGAAGATACCTGAGAGGGCGGAGGCGGCCCGCGCAGAGGTTCTGAGCTGAGCCCAGGCCCCCGGCCTTCGAGTCTCTCTGGGAGTCCCTGGGAGGCGCGGACGAGGATTGTGCCTGAAACGCAGTGCAAGGCAAGCGAGACAGGAACTTCTCCTCTGACTCCTCTTGGAGCCAGGACCCCGGCCTGATCTTGCTCGTCGTCTGACTCGTCCGAGTCACAGAGGTCAGCCCAGCGTCGGCTCTGTGGAGCCTCCGCATCAAGCGGCGGCTCAACACCCCCCACCAAGAATCCCGTATCTACCAAACTAACGGTTATCGTTTGCTTTCTACTGGTCGTTGCGCAGTGGATCAAGCAAGCTAAACCACACAAGAGTCTCCATCGGCTACATACGAGAAACACGTCATTTTCTCACCTAACGGCAACACACGTGCACCAACGTGCCCAAGTATTGCGCCACTGATATTTCCAGAGCTGCCGGCTGCCTTCTCAACTGACAGAAAATTGCAGTCGACGTCGGCAACATCTGCCCACCCTGACACGGAATTCTACGATCTTGTCAGCTGGGTTTTGTCTTGCACTGTAGAGAGTCATGCGATGCTTATGGCCACGTTGAAACGACACAATGCTGGTACGTCTGCAGATGAGCTGCTCGTCGTGGCATCCTTGCAGCTGTCGGCTCTTAGGTTTCGGGCTTAGGAGGCCGGCGTCCTGGGCCTCAGCCTCAGACCACTCAACCAAAGTATGAATGAGTGCGCGGCTTTGGGGCTCTCGGTTGGATTGTCGGCTCGGAATGATGCCAGTGTCCCCCCCCCCCCAACACCCGACCAAAAAAGCAAATGCCAAAAGAACCTTAAACAGAAGGATCCCACTTTGGGGGCATGAAGGGGGCCTGTAACTGCGATTGCAGAAAGCCCTACGTGTGAGATCCTTCTATCCATGTGGGCTTTCGGAGCTATATCTACGAAAGATCGTGAACCCAAAATTGCTGGTAAGGTCTGCATCAACGGCCCATAGCATCTCTCGCTCTTTGGCACAATCAAATCCGAACCACTGCACCGCCGTCCTCGCGGTCGTCACAAAGTGACGGCGCTGCTGTGGAGAGACGATCCTCTTCCTTCACGAGCACAGGCCCATGTCAGAGATGCTCACAAGGATCGATCGACGTTGGTGTAGAGGTATTGACTTGCACCCCCACCTCTCCGTCGCGAAGGGCCTGGCAGCCCGAGGCACGGGCAGGCGAGGCCTCTGATGGACCGCTTTCAGCACCTGACCAAGCCATGCCACGTGGATGGCGTCTTAGGCTCCATGCACTAGGCTTCTGAATCTTCTGAGCAGCCAAGCCGCATCGCGGATCCACGCTGGCGCAGGACATCTTGGAGCGGACCGCAGAACTTGGGCAAGCGGAGTAATCGGGGTTGATCGCAAGTGCAGTATAGCGCACTTGAACCAGACTTCGGCATAGAGAAAATACGGACAGTGTTGGCTGCATCACGGTGATTGCTCGGTCTCCTCGCAGGACTGTGCGGTAAGGCTAGTCCGATGGAGTCCGATAGGCTTCAATGCAAAAAAACAAAGCACCAAAACTGGACATGATATCTACCTGCGACCAGGGTTAGGAAAGAGGCCTTGGCCCCGTAATGACAGTGCTTGGTCGAGCACAGGTCGCGGTGCTTCCTGCCGCAGACCTGGACTTAGCCATGCTGCGTTGGCTGATGTTGGCTGATTCTACCCAAGCAAATACGAGAAAGGATCGAACATGAGCCTACCAGCCGAGCCCTTGCCGTCAGCAATGTACTTCACAACCGGTGGCGCTTCGGTCAGCTGAGCTTCATGGCACTGTACTCCTTTGTCAAATATTCCAATACCTCTCTCCAAGGGCAGATGTCTTGCTGAAGCTGTGCACAGTGAAGGCTCTTTCCATGTTCCTTCTTACTCGCACACGAGTTCTCACGGCGCCTTATCGGGGTTCTTCACCTCGTTCTGCTCCAGGCGCGTCCATAAGGGGACACTAGATTTCGCCTGGGTGCGTGCCTCGCAACATGCCGAGCTGCGTGAGTGTTGTTGGGCGAGGCACAACGTGTCCACAACTTTTTTCTAGAAAAGAACAAAGCTTTGCAAGTCTTGAAGAACCCGGTATTCGAGGTTATCCCGTTCAGCTCTGCCCCTCAGGCTGTCTCCGAAACCGCTGATGACTCCGGCCTCTTCGGCAGCTCTCACCAGCAACTCTACACCCCGCTCCTGCACCAGATTGAAACAAGAACCATGGCAGATGTATGACAATGCTTCAGCGATTCAATTGAATCGCTGAACAGACTCCCGCAGAGCACAAACATGCTTAGACGCATCTGCCACCAACCGAGGCTCTTGACGAGGCCCGTGCGGTGAAGCGGTTGTGGGAGAGATGAAGCTCTTCGAGTGTGTAACACTTGCGCACGAAGCGGCTCAGTGCCTCTGCACCAGGATCTGCTGTAGATTTGCACTCTGACTGTTGCCGATTCTGGCGCATGTGTGGATATGAGATCCTGCGCTTCTGGACTGCGATCAGAAACCGCAACGTGCCTGCGCACCATCATCGTTGATGTCCTGCAGAATCCACTCGGGACGACATGCTTCACATCCGCTCGGTCTTATCATCACCCAGGACCCCCGCATTCTTGTAGAGCTTCAAGACACGCAGCTTCTCACATCGGGAGCAAAGCTCCAGAACCTGCAAGGGGGCCCAGTCAGGAACCGGGAGGCTTCGGGGGTGGCCATCGGGCGGCAAATACTTTGCCTTCCGCAGACCCTCTGCAGAAAGTCGGTTCCTGAGAGCAGATTTCGTTTTTTAGTCGGCATACGGTGATCCGTCAGGAGCTTCTCGGTCTTTGGTCCCTGTTTATAAACCGCATTGCTGTCACGGATATGGAGTTTATGATTGTCCGAGGCTTGGGGTAAAGCAGCTCGACTCCCACATGTAGGCAAGAGCACAACGGTGGCACTTACGGCTCTTTTTGCCAGCTGCTGCTCCGCCGGAGTTATGGGCTGACCTAAGGCACGATCAACCGGTGCGATGATGCCCCGAGGTTGTTTTTTTTATGACAGGCTGACCACGGGCTGCAACTGGATCAGCCTGTCACAGTGTGCAGGGCCTCTTTGTGCCCGTTCTACGGCAGTGCTCTTCTGCAACAGGCAAGAAACGCTTGCAGAAGATCTGTCTTAGTCCATTTTAACAAACCAGTAGCAAGGAATATAGGGAAATATATGTTCAATCCAGACACGTGCAGAGATTTTGTGCGCAGCTGAGTTTGTGCGCCGGGAGCACATCAGCAGCGTCAGCATGCCTCATTTCCGCGGGCCACAGACGGAACATGAACTTCCGGGCTCAGTAGTCGACCCATCTGACACTTCATCTGACTGACTTTGGCGGTATTCGTGATGGACCACAGTTTTAGGCTTAGCCGCCGTCTGCCTTCTCGCAGCCATCCCAGCCATCTACACACAGACCGAAGCGCCCGAAGCACCCGAAGCATCCCGAATCTCAGAAGATGCAAAGGTGCAGCGTGATGCCGAGCGGGGGAAGAGGTGGCTGCGATGCTGCGACCAGCCAGCGCCAAGTAGCACCTTGTGATACACTTCAAGGTGCTAGCATCAGCTCAACGAGCCGTAGACAGCCACGCCTCTATGTAGAGATCGCGCATCTCCCGCCTTCAAGAACACAGCACTCTTGATGGTGCAGATCAAAACAATAATCTTCTGCCGGAAGCCTTGAGGAGGGTCACAAACGTCGCAGCAGCCCATGCATAACATTCCCACAGATGCTAACTCTGGCGCCCAGCTGCAACTGTTGGTTCCGCCGCACGACAAGCTTCTGATATTCCTTGCAGACATCACCGAAAATCACTGCGCCACGATGCAGCATCCCTCAACAGACACTTTAGTAACTCGCGCTGCCACGGCTCCTCTTTGACGTCCTGCCATGGCCGCAATGGCTCCGCCGGCTTCTTCGACTTCCTCAGTGGAACAACTGCACGGGCCTCGTGGTGAACTACCAGAAACACACCCGAACTTCGTTCGGATCGGCATCTGTGCTAAGACGGTCCGAACTAGCATTTCATTATAGTTTATCGACATCCCCAAGAAACAGAGATGCCATGCAGAGTCCCGTCTGTACAGGGATTTTGCGACTCACCTCAGCTCTGAGCTCTACGGACAGCCGGGACACTCCATGGTGTAGAGCATGTACGCATTGACCTCTCCACTCTACACTTTGCGTGTCTTTTGCATCCCTCGTTCCGAAGCTGCCGCAGCTTTACCGTTTTGCAGCCTTGGCGCCTCCGTGCAACGGGAGTTTTTGCAGTGTGTAGTGCAGTGCAGTGTTGTCGAGCCGAAGGGTGGAGTTAGGAAACGTGTTGCTTGCTGTTTCACCGCCATCCCCACGAGCAGCATTAGATTAGATCACTAGACCGCTGCCTGGGGCTTGGGTGCCACATCCAGCAGCTCCTCGGGCAGAACAGCAGAACAGACACAGCCAAGACATCTTCTGTAGCATCAAGCTGCCTTGAGCAGGGCATGCATGCGAAGCCGCCACTGGGCAACCTGCTGATACACCTGCAAGCAGACCAGGCACAAGAGAGGAAGATGGAGCTTCCTCCGTCGTCCGACCTCGATGGCCGCCACTGAGGCACCGCGGTACTTTCGCCGCGACGGGGCGTCCATGCTGTCCCAGGTCGAACTGAGCCTGTAAAGGTGTCGCGAACTTTTTGATGGCGTTGCGACTGTCTCCCAGAACCTCCCGGGACTGAAGCGCTTGTCCGAAAGCTTGTCCCAATCCTCCAGAGACACAGGCGGTGGCTTCTGCCGCGACACTGGCCTTTTGCTCTCTGAACACGGACAGTCGACAGCATGTCCTGGGCCATGTAATGTTGCTCTGTCATGGGCGGTGGCGGCCTCTTCGGGTTGCACATCAAGGTCGTGACCTCTCGAGGTTCGTGGGTTGATTGCACCTGCGAAGCCCTGGCCACGGCAACCGCACCACGTCGCGGCGTTTCAGCGCCTGGGCGCAGGCTTTGCTATGGCTCCGGAGTGAGTTGAGGGGGCAGGTTGTTGGCCCAGGCCTTGGGTTCGGTCTCGCGGCCTGGACTCAGAACAGCTCTGCTTTTCCGTGCGAAGGACAAAGCACAAACTGCACCTCTTTTTGGGAGAGTGCAAATCTCCGCAGAGAGTTTGCTCAGCGAGAGCTCCACATCCTGGACCCAAGGAGGCGAGCCACTGCTCTCGATCGGGGCGCTTTACTCAGCTTCGCACCTCAACTTTTTTCAGCCAAAGAGTCGCTCCCGCATCTGTCCATGGGCAAGCGGCAGGTTGCATTGATCGGATGCACACAAAAACATTGCATGCGCGAGAAGGGCTGACTATGAAACGACATGCCGGTTTCCTCTGTCACACGCCAGGGGAATGCGAAGGCATAATGCGAATTTAGCCAGGTCTCCATGTCTCGAAACCGAAGCCAGCCTAGTGACAAGTGCCCTGGCCTGCAAACTCTGTCTGGCAGACTCCTGAACAGCAAACGCTCGAAGAGCTTGGCTTGCATTCTTGCTTCGCCCTAACCCTACAGAAGCTGCCACGTGCGTCACACAGAGCTCGCTGCATGCACACAGAGCTCGAAGAGCTCGAACGGGACACAATGAATCGGCTGCAAGGCTCTGCCGTGCCAACTTCTCGAAGGCTCCACAACAACGACCTCGTGCATGCAGACAAGTTTACCATGACAGGCATCAGCCTCTGCAACAGGGTTGGACGCACAAATAGCATCAAACAGATCTTGGGACGCCGACCAAATCGCCAGTTTCCACTGCACCGGCTTCAGGCAGGCGGCGGGCCTGCGAAGACTGGTGAGCAGAAGAAATGCATGAGATGACCAAACGGCCTCCTTGCGGAACTCCTTCAAGTCCTGCATGGCCACAAACTTGTTGCAGCGCACTTAGTCATGCTCGGAGCAAAGCTCTGTGTCTGCACGTATCAGGAATCCTTGTGCCTGTCCTAGCGTGAAAACATCATCGCGTGTTTTCTAGGAGGGCAGTCGCTGCATGTCTGTAGCTCAGATGGGTGGGTTCGCTTGCATTCACATGACCCCCGACACCCTTCGATATCACGAATACGTTGTTCCGCTGAAGCTTCTTACAAATCTACGATGCATTCGTTTACACATGTGTGCACGGTTGTGCGTGTGCAGCGGGGAGACAACTGTTGGTGTCAACAGGGCGCTCGAATGTCATTCTTCCACAGTTGAGATGTTGACTCATTCCGTACTCACTGAGATTTTGGAGCACCCGGTCGCAGGGTTTCGCACTCCCGGACACTCCATGGACCAGTTTAAGTTTAAAGCACTCGGAGTCCGAGCACAAAAACGAACGAAAAGTTCATGGGATGTCCGGTTCAGTTTCGGCGGTGAGCATTCCCGGAAGATGGACAGCGATGGGCAAGTCTGGCCTCAACAGTCGCTGCCGGCTCAGCAGACCAAGCCGATGTGACACGGCGCGCTCTTCGCGGGGCCGGCGGCGATTCTCCGACAATGGACATGGCTTCCACGTTTTCATGAGAGCTGATTACTGTGGGAGCATTGGGAGGCTAGCATTTGGTAAACCTATGGCAGTTGGTGTATGCAAGTAGCTGCACCTCCTAAGGAGGAAATACCGCCCTCTAACAAAGACAACTGGCGATCCGCTACTTTACTGCCCGGTCTCGTTGCAAAGAGACTTTGTATGCGACTTTCCTTCACGCTTCAGACGGCTTCGGGCAAGCAGTGATGTTGTCTGCTAGAACTCTCATTGCATGCTGGCCCATTGCTGTCGACGGCCTATAGCCCCAGTTGGACAGCCCGCGGAAATTTAATACTTGGACCGTGTATTTTGGCCAAGCGTCTGAGAGAAGTTTACCTCCTCATAAGGGTACACCACTTCCTTCAGGGGCAAGTCCTGCGCTCAATCACCGGATTGTTCAGAAACCAAAGTGAGGCGACTGAGCGGCGCCAGGCAAGCTTGCCCACAGTGCCTGCCTGCAAATCCGCATCCGAAAATGCCTGACCCTGGTAGTTCAGCCTGCCATCAGAAGATGCTCCGAGCTGCGCGTCATCTTCGTCTTGAACACTCATGTCTACAGTCAGTTTGAGGGCTTGCCCTGCGGACCTTTTGGAACTCATAAACGCCCGCGATCACCTGTCAGTCAATTCCAGCATGCTCTGATGCAAACACCCACACCCACCACTTGTGCAAAGATGTGACTTCTGTCAATGTTCATCCCCGAGACGTCCCCTCTTCTGCTTGATCAATGATTTCACAGTGCAGGCATTTCGGAGATGTCCGCCTGTTCCAAGGTGTCATGCGCCGGTCCGACGGGCTGGGATGTGGCTTACGAGCCCAGATGGGATGCCACAGCCCATGCGAAGCTTCTTCCCTGCTCCAACTAGGCCTGCCACTGGCGGCTGGGTTCAGCTAGCTTCCGGAACTGAGAGGCTACTGTCTGTCGTTGGAGAACCTGTGCAGAGTTGCAAAGTCTTCTGTAGGGGGACTTCTTGAATTGATTGTCCCTCTAACCTAATCATTCTGAGCCACACAGGGCCAGGCGACATGCGAGGACTCGGCAGTGACAATGCGTTTCATTGCTCTTCTTTCTCTTGTCCACACGATCGCGAAAGCGCTTGCTTGCGGACCAAAGTAACATGTCAGCCTGTGGGCACTGCTGTCAAAGTCGATTTCGATTTCTTCCGTCCACGCGCGAGCTGCCGGCCCATGATGCCAGTCAGGACATGGCACAGCTCCTGCCGGACGAGCATGTCCTGGCGCTCGCAGTCAGAAGCCAGTCCTACGCATATTGCAGACACCAACTATGCAGGGACACCCGGTTGGCGATCCGGCCATGGTGGCCAGAAGGACCTGCAAGACTTGGCAGTGAAATCTGCACACTGCTCCACATCTCGACTCAAGATGCCTAGTATTAATGATGCCGACCCTTGAGACACAATAAGAAAGACCATCAGGTTCGATCAATTCGATCCATGCAGCATGGACCTTGCTTTTTCGAGTGGAAATACTCTACGCAATCCAACATCACGCAGGCATAGCTGCTTACATGATCACATGGTGAGCTTGATCGTGCGGAGCCTCTTGGACATCCTGTGCCCGCAGACGAGCTGCGATGTCCAAGGGTAGCATCCTCGTGCATTGGAGGAAGGTGGATTCGTAATCGAAGACTGCCTTCAAGAATAAGAATAGCATGCCTCAGCTGATCTCGGCAATCTGGGTTGGCTCGGGCCGCCAGGAGTCGCCGGACAGACCTCAATACTGCCGTCGATGCCTGAGAACCCTTCGCTGAAGACTTCTGTTTGCTGCCAAGTTAGTCATGCAATAAGAGCACCTAAGGATCTGCAATCCCACATTCTCATGGTGCTCAGAGTTCAGGCCCGAGCTCCACGTCACTGCTCGCTGCAGCCAAATGCAGGGCAGAACGTCCATCTCGGGACCTTCGGCGCCGGAGATTCCACACACACTCGGCGACCATCATCCTGGTCCTTTCGTGTCTGCGCTTCTGCGAAGCACGGAGACACAACACAAATCAATCCAAGACCATTTTGCCGTCGCCTCCAAAACGAGCTTAGGATCGATGCCTACGGTGATCTTTGTACGAGTACCAATCTAATTGGCGAGCGGGCCGCATCAGCAAGGGTCCGTGGCCCAGACCCGGCCGCATGCGGGCACGCTCTGAGATCCTTGCCACGCTCACACACTCCACATGTCAAGCTGGCAAGATACCGACAGACCGCTTTAACACATTTGAGGCGGCATGACGACAAGTCCGCCCTTAGGGCGGGGCCAGCAACAACTGCACCAGCGCAGGACACTTTCGCCTTGCAGCAACCTGACTCAAACCGAAGTTTATGCACCCAGCAATGCGTCGAGATCAAATCATGTCGAGATTCGTGTATTCCTCAAACTCTTATGACTTCAGCCCGGCGCATGAAGAGGCTCCTGGCCACGGCTGTCTGCAACTGCCAGAGCCTCTCTCAGCGACGAGTAGAAAGCCCACCGTGTCGTGACAAGCTTGCAGACTTCGTCCACATCCTCCCTTTATCTCCCTTTGTCATCCTTGACTGACCGAGCCAATGAACGTGTCTCCCGCGCTGCCACACCTGTGGCTCTCGTGCAAAGACAGCAAATGCCTGAAGGCAGCACTGCCATCAACGGCAGGAAACATGTGTTTCAGTGCTCTGCTACTCGGCACATCTGCTATATTCAACCAAGGCAGCCGCAGTGTCCAACATCACCGTCAAACCTGACGAGCTTGACCTGGAATGTCGAGGGTTTCCGTCTAGTATTGCGGCACGACATGTCAGATGCACTCAAGGCCTTATGCCTCTGCACGTTGGGGGTGAACCCGTGAACTTTATCAACAAGGATCCAGGTGGTTGGACAAACCGGCACAGCGAAAGCACAAAAGGTGTAGCGAGACTTGATCCACGAGGTGCTATACCATCTGCACAGGAAGCAGCGTTCTGGTAGACGTTTGGGGCAGTGGTCATGCCTCAACATACATAGAGGAGGCGATCCAGGTGCACTGAATGATCCAATCTGTTCCTGAGTACGAAAAGTCGCGCAAAGGTCAGTACACTATGGCTTGGTAATATGCGCATGGAACTACCGTTCACAAAGCTCCACAAGAGAAGCGTGCGGCAGTTTTGCTAACGCTGCAGGCCAGATCAAGAAGGCCGAACTCATGTGCGTGGACACGCATCCTTCGTGCGGCAACCGAAATTCCAAACCACAAGCCGTTGCCGTGCCAGGGCCACGTCAACGACGGGCGCTTCTGTCTTGGGCTCTGGTGACTGGAGCGGCTCTCACAAAAATGGTGGGAGATCAACGATCGCTTACGTTTCATGTTGATGCTCAGTACGGCAACCAACAATTTCGTCAGACGCCTTGTAGAGAAGACATGGGATTTCTTGCCTCTACAACCCCAATGCCTTTGTTGTTTCTTAACGGAACACCGGATCTTTGTACCGCATTGCTCGATGTTGCTCGCTTTGCAACATTGCTTGTTACTGCACACTTCCACCGATAAGACGAATCTGGAATGTGAAGGCTGGGTTTTGCACAAAACGGTGTTATCAATCACGAGCTCGGCCGATAGGGGCATTGCGACTGAGCACCGAACATCGCAGTTAATTCCACCACACAGTTCGTGCTCACCTCCCAGGAGTGCAAGCAGTATGGGAGATGCAGGCAACCCATGTAATCCATCGGTTTGGAATACAACGAAAGGAAGAAGGACCCTCAGGATGGAGTGATCAATCACAGGTCTCATTCAGTGGATGAGACATCACTTTGGTCCAAGAGCATACATTGTGACGGGCTATTGTCCTCTATGATGCTTTGATGCTCGATGGAGGTGACCGGCACGATATTTTGCACGATGCATGGCTCAAATGGATGGGACTGACCTATCGGCCCATTGTGGATTTCGGCTTTGGGTTTAGCTCATAGGAAAATGAGGTGTGTTGCGAGGAAACGGAGGTGACTTCGCAAGCAAGCCATTCTTTCTGTCCGGCAGCGCCATACAAAATCAAACCACAAATTCAGCGGCACGTCGACATAGGACGTCTTCGCGAGCAGCAACAGACTGACCACATGGTCGGCCTCCAAGCCGTGGAGAGCGCACTGAATTGATATTGCATATGCCAGGCGTTGGCGAATTTGATTGTAACAGCGGCCATTTCTATGTTTTCGATGCAGCCAAAGCCCGTTCAGCTCTCCATACTCGACGAACCCACAGTGTCGCCAAAATGCATCACCAGTTTCGCTCCACAGCGGGGTTAACATCAAGAATGGAATGCTACGATGTCGAGCATATTCAACAGCAGCTTGAAAAACAGCCCGTCCGCCACCCGAGCGGCGTATTGTGCCGCAACTCAATATTTCCAGGCCTGGGATGCGGTTCACCAACTGAAGAACTGAGAAGGTCCGAAATATTCCTACAGCGCGGAAAGCGATGAAGAGAATCTGCTGCTGCAAGGCCACTTTCATAGTGGTGCCAGCGATCCCCCATCGAGCCTTCAAGGAATGATCCCGCAATCCCTCTTTGCCAACAAGCCATAAAGGATCGACCCGCTTGGCTATCAGCACCTGGGCTGTACTGAGAACATACATCTTTCATCGCAATCTTGCGTTATCATCCTTTACATTCAAAATAACATGGCAAGTGTGGCGTTTTCTCCACCTCGGAGACACTTCCATTTGCACCTCCGGATGATCATTCGCAGTTGGCGCGAAAGGGCCACAATTAGCTTCCAGAATTACGGTGCAACGATTGAAAATTTCAAACCCTCGTACACCATCCCCGGATGATCCTCCGGAGTCGCAAATTCACTAATAGGGGTATACAGTAGTTAATGATCCAAGTTAAGTTCCTTAACAGCAACCCAGTCAAGTGCCTCTGAAACGGAGAAAGCACCGCGCCTGCCTTGCGTTCTGATTTGCCTTGCTGAAAAAGGTAATCGGTAGGGCGGGGGGTGAATTGGCATGTTCCAGCGGATCAAAGCCAGTAGAGCGTGAAAAGAAACACTAGAGTGCCTGCCTGCCTGTATACTTTGTGAGGGCAGGCACGCACTAGCTTCATCTCGGGGGGGTTAGCAGAACTACCACTACCACTACCACTACCACTACCACCACTACTACTACTACTACTACTACTTCTTCCAGACCCAGCAAAGATGTCCTTGCTCTGCACCGATTTGGGCAGGGTCGAACCCCTGGCACCTTGTGCAGCCCACCGTATGTGGACTCCGGACGATACCCTCCTGATCCCCGACCCGAAGGTCCTTCAAGCAGGGATGGCAGCCTGTGGAAAACAGGTAACTGTAAAGAGAGATCGACTACATACACACTACTACTACTACCACTACCACTACCACTTCTTCTTCTTCCCTCGCAGCGAAGAACTTCGCTAAGCGTCCCAAGATAGCAGCAGTTTTTGCTGGCGCCTTCATGGCGCACTCCCAATTAGGGAGCCTGTGTGCCTCGGCACTAATGCCAGCAGGCCTTGTCCTACCCAGCAAAAGTTGCAAGCTCATATGGCCAGCGGAACATCGTAAAGTTTCGCCCCAATGACAGAGGAGGGTGGTCAGTGCCTGCGCATTAAGGCAAAGATATACCCATCAGTGCAAGCATTGCCAGACAGACTCGCGCTGAGTTGTGCCTGACGACCATCATCTGTCTCCCAGAACTTTCCCCTGCCATCACAGAGGATGGTGGTATAGTGTCCAGTGCTCGTATGAGCTCCATGATGCATGATGATTGCCACAACAGAGCACACAGCTTTGAAGGTACGAAGGTCTTTACCGAAAATCGGGATTGTAACCTCAGCCGGGATAGCCAAAGCTTGACGATTCTTGAACGTCAAGGTGCCCCGGCAGCGGTACCTCGCCAACTGTATGAAGAAAATGTTGGTCGCTGATGCAAGGGCGTGTAGCCTGGCTTGTAGACTCCAGTCATTGATGCAGTCCTGCAGTGTGTGATGTGCTGCATTTAGTGGTAAAATAATAGGACAAGAGAGCCGGCCACTGTCCTGACAGACAATACCCTGCTCAGTTTCCCATCTTGCCTCCCAAGTGGCCTGCAGTTGTGGTGGATCCAGGATATGAATAATATGCATCATGAAATCCGCGACATCATGTTGGGAGGCAGGCTGCCTCCATCCTTTCAACAGGCTTCGCCAAGATGGCAACCTGCTGATGGTGAGTGGCCTCTGGGTTGTGTAAAGAACATCTCGCCAGGCCTGGATCTTGGTGCCAAAGAGCTGATATTCAGGAGCCTCCA